TTAACATTTCTAAAGACATTTTTCTGCTTTTTACTTGAAGATATAAATTTACTAAAGCTGCGTAAAAGCGAAAAAACATTTAAACTCCATTAACTGCATTCAATTTTCTCGGCACTTCTGCTCAAAACTTTATCACTTCCTTTAATTTTAAATTACGCCTACGACATTGGGATAATGAAATGTGAATACTTTCTTCTTCTTCTTCTTCTTCTTCTTCTTCTTCTTCTTCTTCTTGTTCTGTGCCTTCGGGACTTTGACATCTTCTCCCCTAGCTATGGGTTAATTAGTAGGACATGTATCACTAAAATCATTACTACTTCAATAAAATAAAATTGCGTACAAAATATTTAGATTTCGACATTAAATAACCCATAGGCATGTTGGTATACCGCTAAACAAAATCAACTAACCCAAACCAATCAAAATATTTAGATTTCGGCATTAAATAACCCGTAGAGGTTGATATGCTACTAAACAAAATCAACCAATTTTCAAAACGTTGGAGATCATGGTTCTTCACAAATTCCTATGCCTTGTGACTCACAATAAATGTTGTTTTTTGGCCATCATTCCAAAACCCTGCTCGCCATCCATTCACTCAAGTTCGTTGTTCTCTATCAAGTTTGCTTTCGATTTGTCCTGTGAGTATCAAATTTTCCAAGCTACCTTTCCTCATTTTCTCTACGAATTTCAACTATCTCTTCCTGGTGTTAAGTATGAGTTCTTTTTGCTTCCATTTTCTATCGAACATAGTCGTTTCTCACTTGTTTGGTCCATGATATTTTACAACAACGAGAAAGGCAAGACCCCACACAACAAGCAAAATAAACCAACAACTGTTAAAAAAAGACTTGTCTTCATCCAAACAAGGAAATGCTGTGTGTTTGGTGTTATAGAGGAATAAATTGTCGCTGCCGATACTTGAGTTTGAACATAGATTGCCAGTGTGCAAACACAGGCGATCCCTTTATTGAATTAAGTGAATCACGTGACCATGGGAGAAACGCATAAGTAGGAAGTCGGGCGACGTGTAAATTATCGCCATTCTACTCTCTACTCTATTCACTATACTATTTCTCTTTTCGGATCACTACAAGGATTACTGTTCGATCGAGTATTATCGATCAAGTACTATAAGTGCGAGTGATATTCGAAGGCGTCTGACACCAGTATTATTTAACGGCGTACCATAGTTGTAACTGCGATTACAAAGTCTCTACTACAACCAGCATTACAAAAGTGACAACGAGTATTCGTTGGCATCATAAAATTTGGGTGTGGTTGGAAAGGAGATCTCCATTATAAAACAATACGGGAGAAACAATTCCGATTGTTAATTATTTTTTCTTTTTATTTAATAAAACAAAAACTGCAGTTCCTTGCAAAAGGTTCCAGCGACAGTTGTTTGCTGAAAAAGCAAAATCTTCTGGAAGGAAGAAATTATTAAGATGCTTGAAAGATAGCAGTAAATAGAGAAACGACGCTATAAACATGTCGCTCATTTCCGTTAAGTTTTCGTTGATTTTGATTAGCGACATATCAACCTGTATGGGTTATTTGATGCAGGAAACTAAATATTTTCAACAAATTTATGGCCGCAACTAAATATATTTTGAACGTAGTTGTATGCCTTCAACTACAAATAAAATGTATTGCTGATAGTTTTATTATAAAAAATATTTTAATACTTTCATAGTGTTTTATTCTTGTTTGGGATCCACTATTTTCCCTATAACTGTGATCCTAACAGGTGCTAAAACCCCGGGACTAGATGAATCTGAGAATTACATCAATTAAGAGGTTGTTCTACGTACCTCAAAACCTACAATCTCCCGATCAGAGGACTTGCTGCCGGATGTAGTTTATCGTCATACGCAGGACTAATTACTTTAAGGTCGATTTAAAAAATAAAATATATATATATATATATATATATATATATAATTATTTATTTTAAAAAAATTATAACATAAATATGTTATAAAATCACTACAAAAATAGGCATTTTGTTTCAGCACCTTCGGTGTCTTATCAAGTGATGATGTTGAATGTAAAATAAATGGTTTTAAAAGTTTCAAATTAATTAACAATCTTTCACAAGGGGAAAACGTTGTTACAAAAGCTAGATGGACCAATCAAAATACAAGTATAGGAAAATTCAAAAAGCTTGACAACGAAGTCATGTTATAATAGCTATTCAGATGTTTAAAATATGGGTAGTATTAAAAAATAATTTATTCTAACCAATAACTACTAAATTATAATAAAATTTAATATTAAAATTAAAAACTGCTAATTTCAAAATCAAAATTTAATCGCTATTAAGTTTACAACTATAAAATTATTGAGAGTAAAGAAGAAAATATATATGTTATTTCTTCATTGAAGTTACTTTATATATTTTCATAATGATTTATTTATTTTATATATATTTGATATTTCAGATTGGCCTCAAATAAATAAAAAAAAAATGTATTTTTTTATGATATATACAACTTAAGAAAGTATAAAATTATGCTATATATATATATATATATATATATTATATATATATATATATATATATATATATATCCATGTATAGGGTTGGTATACGGAATAAATTCCAATAACCAAAAAATACCATTCTTAAAAGAGTTCAATAAAAAAACAAATTAATTTGTTTTAGAAATCACTAGAAAAATAGCCATTTTTTTCAACATCCTGTTTTATCAAGTGATGGTGTTGGATGTAGAATAAAACGCCATCACTTGATAAGAAAGTAAAAACAAATGATTATTTTTATAGTGATTTCATATTTCATTATTTTCTGTGAATAAATATATATATATATATATATATATATATATATATATAATAAACCAAACTTCTCGTTTGCAATGCAAAGAATAAATAAATAGAGAAAGAATAAACGACCAATAAAAGAGGAAAAATATGAAGGAAAAATTATTTTAAAAATAAAAAACCATAATCGAAAAAGAAAAAGACGAACAGAGGAATGATGAAATATGACAAATAAAAGAGAGCCTTTCTTTTAAAAATGAAGGGACCAAAAATATGCCTGAAGATATTGGAACAAAGCTTCAAATATTTTATTATATATATATATATATATATATATATATATATATATATATATAATATATATATATGAAGTCAACACTCCAGAGTCGACAGGCTTTTCATGCTGAACGCTATCATCAGGCGGCCTGACGATTGCGTCCAGCATGAAACAGCCTGTCGCCTCTGAGTGTTGACTTCAATGTTCACTTTTATATTTATAATAACATACGCTGATATTGAGCACTTTATCCCATAAATATAACGCACCTTAAAACTATATATATATATATATGTGTGTGTGTGTGTGTGTGTGTGTGTGTGTGTACCAAATCTGTAGGTGGTAAGGATTATTTCAAGGCAGTCTTTTTAATATAAAAATATTAAAAAGTTAAATTCATGATGAGAGCGCAATGTATACTAATAAAAAATTTATATACAGAGCAATATAAATAATAAGGAAAAGACTTAAATATTCATCATGTAATCAGTTATAAATTTATTTCAACAGGTATAAATAGAAATATATATATATACAGTGCTGTTCGATAAAAGTAACTCACCTGATTTTTTTTACTAAAAATATTTTTTTGTCTATTCTTTTTGGGGTTAAAATAATTTTTAATCGTACTAATATAAAGACCCCTTCCCGACCACCTAGAAAAAAAGTTTATTCACTCTAAGGTATTCTATTGATAATTATAAATTTGGATATAAATGAGATTCAGGAAAAAAAACTCTGTTCAAAAAAAAAAGTGACTCACATATATCATTCTAATGATTAAACTGGTAAATTTAAAGAACTTTCGAAAAAATATTGAAAACTATTTTGCAATACACTCGGAACAATATTCTAGAGAATTCTAGAACAGCTTAAATTAAATTTAGAGTATTCTAGAATATTCCAGAAAGTCTCATACAGTATAAAAACAGCTTGAAATAGCCACTCGTCAATAACCAGATGAAAAGGTACAACACGCATCAGAACCACTTAAGGCATCTATTATTGCCCTCTCGAGAGAAATTGGAGAAATTGCTACAACCTCGCAATCAACTGTCTCTCGAGTGCTTAGGGCACATAATCATGCCACTCCTGCTCCAAGGAAGGAAACAAGCGGACGAAAGAAAAAGATTGATGAGAGAACTGGCAGGGTAATCAAGAGAGAAGTTGCGAAGAATAGGACTGTAACTAGCCAAGAAATTGCAGCCAGTCTAAGCGAAGAGCAAGGTGTTAGTTTTACCTCTCCAACACTCCGTCAGTGGCTGTTAGAACAAGGCTACAAATCTTGTACACGAAGGTTTAAGCCGCTAATAAGTAAAGCCAACAAAGCCAAGAGACTTGAATGGGCTCACTAGACTGGAAGAATGTTCTCTTCTCCGATGAAACGAAAGTTGAGGTAAATTCAAAGGATAAGGTGAGTCACTTTTATCGAACAGCACTGTACCTGCCGCATCAGACCGACTACATTTGATGAAATCATACAATTTCATCCAGGCCATCTGATAATAAACCAGGCATTTAAAAAATAAAAAATAAAAAAAGGAAGTAGCAAAATTAACTTGACCTTATTGATGAATGAACGAAACATCTCTACGACAATAGAAAGAATAAAATGAAAGCAAGAAAGAAAGATTTTGTTTGTTTTTTTTGTTTTTTCTTTTTCTTTTTTTTTGTGTTTAGAGGTATATCAACCTCTATGGGTTATTTAATGTCGAAATCTGAATATTTTGTACGCAATTTTATTTTATTTTTGTGATAATAATAGTTTTAGTGATACAAGTCTTACTAATTAACCCATAGATAGGGGAGAAGAGGTGGATTCATACCTTTCCCAAGAGTATTTGCGCGTAAGTGAATATAATGAACCTGTTATTGGAATTCGGCTCTCCGATTAACAATTCCGAGCCATTATACTTTAAACCACACCTGCCCATCCAAGCTTACAACACATGATATTCTGAGGCGGTCGACCATCTAGGTAGTGACCAGGCTGGACGTTGCTTAACTTCGGTGATCGTACGGGAACCGATGTTTCAACGTGATGTGGCCGTAAGCAGAAAGAAAGAAAGAAAGAAAGAAAGAAAGAAAGAAAGAAAGAAAGAAAAAGAGATAACCAAATAAAAAACCTGAATGAGAACTAAGAAAGAAAGAAAGAAAGAAAGAAAGAAAGAAAGAAAGAAAGAAATATGGAAAGAGAGGTATTGAACAAAAAAGAAACAAACAAACAAAGGAACAAACAAATTACAGAAAAAGGGCTAAGAAAGAAAGAAAGAAAGAAAGAAAGAAAGAAAGAAAGAAAGAAAGAGGAGGGGGGATGGAAAATAAAAATGAAATGGAATTATTTAAAATGAAAAGCCACAAGCAAGAGAATAAAAGAAACAAATAAAGGAGATGAATAATGAAGCAGAACTATTAAAAAAGAAAAGCAGCTAACCAAAAAAAAAAAAAAAAAGAAAACCTATAAGTAAAGAAAGAAGAGAAAAAGCGAAGATACCTTAAAGATAACAGAAGACAGTGGAAAGAACGGTAAATGTTATTTTTACTTAACCCGAACGATCTCTTTGGAATATCCATTATCGCTGTGTATTTATCCGCTTATCACTCAGCTCCAATTTTTGATGCGCTAGCCATGAAATTCCTATAACTGAACACCGATTTGATAATTTACCAGCTGGAGTAAGATTTGTTTTAGCTAATCTTAAAGATTCCAGACTATATTCACGCTCACAGTAAACATTGGTTTCCCTAAGCTGCATAATCAGGAAGCTAAACAAACTTATACAACTAATGGAATAGAAGCACATACGGTTATAATTCAATCAACAACTTTTGATGTTCTGTCTACGAAATTCACATAAATAACGGAACACTGATAATAATGCCATGTATTTGTTGTGCTTAATGTACCAGCTGGAGTTGGTTCTAACTCAGCATAAATTCTTTTTCTGTCATTTTTTTTACCTTGGTCCTGATGATACGATCAAAAATTGGACTATCATTATGAATATGAAATTCCAATAATCATGTTCTGAAATAAAGTAACAATTCAGCACAGTTTATAATATTTTCCAATATTAAAGACATTGCCCTATATGGCGCATTTTTAATCACTAAAACTTGCCAAGCATCTTATATGCAAAGTCGAGGCCTCTTGTAGGCTAATTTCAGTTCCAACGCTAACACCCATAAGCTATAATTTTATAATCTATTTAAACAGTCATTACTGCCTAGCCCGAGTCCATAACATTATTTACTTAAACTACTTCTTTATCATTATTACTATTAGTATTATATTTAGTGTCGCATATAAATGGAGTCGATGGAAACTGTCTTCTTTTGCCATGGTGGCAACAAGACTCCTCACAATTCAAGAAAAAATCGGAGAATTCTCGAAAAGTAAATAATGGTAGTTTTCTGGAGGTCAACAATCTTGGTTTCAATTCCCGAAGTACATTTTCAGTTTTCTAGGAGTTGTTCCAAGTGTACCTATTACTACAGAAACACTTCAACAGTCATGTCCCATGGCCTTTTCAATTCCGTTACCAGATCCTGGTAGTTTTCTGTCTTTTCAGATTTTATGGGGTCCATTCTTGTGTCATATGGAACTGTCAGTAATTTGACAATTGCCTATCTCCTTATCTATAACAATAATGTCGTCGTGTTCCGAAGACATAATCTGTCTGCACGGAGAAATCCCATAATGTCTTTATTATTATTATTATTATTATTATTATTATTATTATTATTATTATTATTTCTTTCGATTTCTGTTGTATATTTCTGTTTTTTTCGAGAATTACACATAAACAAAACAAATTCACGAATTTGAAAAGAAAAATAACTTCGAATGGCGTTAAAATCTGTGATATTTTTCATTCGTTAATAGTCAGTAGTGCTTAGTTTAATTTGTAAGGTATATGAATTCAGGTAAAAAAAAGAAAAGATAATGAGGGTCAAAAAGCACTTCCTGAGGCCCCTAATCAGCAAAAAGCCATGGAGTAATACGCACCGGCCCTGATGGCAAGGAAAACTGCATATTTCTATATATAAAAAAATGATATATTTATTAAGAGTAATAACCGGCTTTGAAATAGCGAAGTATAACCAAAATGTTCTGACTCAAGCCCAACGGTCAAGATTACCCCCCTCACACACACACACACATCTCACGCCCGAACTTTTGGTGTTGAGGATCGTGATTTTGGTACATCTCTATATTCTCTGCTGATAAAAAAGGAATTCTGACAAAATTATTTTTTCTTCCCGCGAAAACCTGGGACTAACTATCGTCTGATTGGCCAACCAATCAAACAATGCGTACTCTTTTTTTTTTTTTTTAAGCAAATCACCCCCAAGCAAGGTGGGAGTGCCACTAGGGGTTACAGAGAGTGAGAGTAAGAGTAAAGAGGAGTATTTAGGAAAAGGATAAAGAAAAGGACAGGGATCAAGGTCAAAGCATCAGAATATGTCGATTGACATTACATTTGAATATTTGAAGATTATAGCTATCAGAAAAGCAAGTGATAGGGAGGGAGTTCCACTGACGGGAGGTGCGAGATAAGAAGCTGTTGGAGTAGAAGAGGCGGTTACATTTAGCCGTTTCGACAGTGAAAGGATGAGACTGAGATGCCAACCTAGTAGCACGCTTAAATTCATGCAATTTGGGAACTAGTGAAAGTAGCTCGTCGGAGCAGTTGCCATGAAAGTACTTGTAGAAAAGACAGGGGGAAGCCACAGCACGGCTGTAAGATAGTGACTGCAGACGGGATGCCAGATCAGGACCTAGCACCGTCTCTGGATTTTCTCCAGAACCTCGATATCCCTGTCTTTGTATGTTCATAACTTGCAGGTACGCTAATATAAACAATTGTTTCACTTTTCCAATTCAACCCTGCTAGCACTCGAAGACCCCATACCTATCCTGAACCCACTGGATCGATGTACTCTACCAGACCAGCCAATGGTCCTGCTCTGGTCCAGTATTACAGGTTCAATCAAAGTCTTCGGTTCACAATGTCGATTCGATTCCACTTTTGTTGTGGAGTTATTTCGCAGTGGAGGCTTGTATTTGTACTAAATCGGTCCTAAAATAGGTTCGACGTACAAAACGTTAGGAACTTGAATAATAGGTATTACGCAGAGTAATCTTGTTGTGGTCGCTGACTACTTTCGTATTCGACTAACTGTCGACTACTGTCGTCCGACATCGACGCTATTTAGTAACTGCCCCACGCAGTCACATGTGGCACAAGGCCGAAGTTAATGTGGGGTTCCTGAGCCCGTAGGCGCGGCCAGAAAATCCCCGTAGACCCCGCATAAACGGGATCGGGTCTGTCTACCTCCCCGGACAAGACTATGCCCTTCGGTATAGCCTCGTCCGGGTTCCTCTCTGCCCGAAGGCAAAGAGTACGACTGTCGTCCGACATCGACTGGTATTTAGTCACCCCCTGACAAGGGTATCATGCGGCACAAGGCCGGTTTAACGTGGGATCTCCGAGCCCGTGGGCCCTGCCAAAAATATACCCTTTGAACCCGTATAAACGGGTTCAGGGTCGGTTTACCTCCCCGAACGAGACTCCGCCCTTCGGCGTAGCCTCGTTTGGCAGAAGGCAGAGAGTTCAACCGTTTAGCCAGTCGTCCGACATCGACTGACCCTTGTTTCTCTTACTACTCTTACTTATATTAGGTGGGAGAGTCTATTAACTATAGAATAGGTTTGTTTCACCATAACAACTTTCAAGCCACGTTGTGATTTTTTGATCCTGGAGAGAAGTTAACAAATCCTAGATTCCAGAAGATTCACTTCCTCCATTATTACAGCAGTAAGCGGACGCTCTCTCTCTCTCTCTCTCTCTCTCTCTCTCTCTCTCTCTCTCTCTCTCTCTGTGTGTGTGTGTGTTTCTCTTTCTCTCTCTGGTCGACTGCTTGTCAACTAACTTCACCCAGCTCCAATTCCGATTTCAACTTCGACTTCGACTGTTTGTTTTCGCACAAACACACGCATAAATAAACGCTGTGGTAGCGACAAAAATCCGGGTTGTTGGTAAACATAGGATACAACCTAATTACTGACCTCTCCCCCTTCATGATTAAATGAACAGTATCTTCTTCGCAATTGCTATTCCATAGTTCATATAAACACTATTGTTTTGACATTTTATATTAATTATTCTGACGAAGCACAGATTCTCTGGACACAAACTTCACCACAGATTATTTTTCTCATCTATAAGCAAAATTCTATATTACTATAATTATTAATATTTCAAGGGTGACCATCGCTCTCTTCCACATATATATGAGTCTCTGTTTATTTTAACGCAAATTCTCTCTTCTAAGTTAATATTTTCACGGAAACTCCGCTGACAATTTTTTTTCCCTGCTACTTCAACTACATAAATTTAAGCGTGTTACTAGATTGGCATCTAGGTCCCACCTTTTTACTGTTGAAATAGTTAAATATAATCACCACTTCTACTCCAACATTTTCTTTTCTCGCACTTCCCACCTGTGAAACACCCTTCTGTTTACCTGCTTCCCTGATAACTAGAATTAAAAAAAATTAAATGCAATGTCAATCGCCATCTTCTATGCTCTTGAACTCCGTTCAGCTTTTATCTTTTCCTCATCCCTCCCTATTTTCAGCCCTCTTACCCTTTCATTCCTTTACCCATCTCCTGCATACCAGTGATATTGCGCCTTGCTTGGGGTGGAATGATAAAAAAAAAATTGTACTTGTAAAATCTTACCTCTTTCATTATTTTCAATTAATATATCTGAATTAGAACCAAATTAATTGTACCACCAATTTTGCTTTATAAATGATCCAAAGGAGATGTCTCTACATAAACTTATCTGTTATATAATATTTCTTTTTCAATTTGTACCGTCTTACTTATTTAAATAGTGATCCGTATTCATACTTATGATTGTTAGTGTAACATTTTCTTACATTTGTTAAACTCAAATCTGTAACGATGCAATAGGAGAATTTCAACGGCCATTTTATTGTGGAATTCACAACGAGGCTTATTCAATCATTAAATTAAGAAT